CCGCCCCAAGGACATCTCTAGAAGAAACTGCCTTTCAGTCGACCTGGAAGGATTCCACTCGACGGACTCGAAGACACTCGACCATGAAGCCTCACTCGACCACTAGGAGATCAAGAGTCACTCTGCACCCAAACGGTCTGTAATTAAGTAGTATTTATGGTCATGATAGCACTTTATGTAGGGCGTTACCAGTAATGCCAGGCCTTAATGTACTTTAAACCCCGCATAACTGAGGGCCAGAGGGGTCTGGCAGACTCTATATAAGCCACCCCCCTCCTCAGTGTAAAGGGTTCGCACCCCTATAACTCATACGCATATAATCCAGTCGACCGCCTCCGGGCTCCGAGACGTAGGGCTGTTACTTCCTCCGAGAAGGGCCTGAACTCGTAAATCCCTTGCGTATACAACTACTCCATAGCTAGGATCTTGCATCTCCATTCCTACCCCCCTATTCTACTGTCAGGCTTAGAACCACAACACCAGCTACTAGGTCCCCTGTGCCGGCTGACCCGGCTCTGGATGGGCCGGCCGGACATGGCCCGACACCACCTGCATCCCCGTTGCCAGGTGACTCTGGCACCGGCTCGCAGGGTGCTTCGGCCTCGCCTCTGCTGATGCCGTCCTCTGCACCGACTCCAGCATTGTCAGCACAACCCACTGCTGTTTCTCTTCGTCCTTGAACACGCAGCCAAACGGGTGTTTTTCAGCCAAAGAAACGCACTGACAGGACCGTCGCGTGGCTCGCTGCTTGCATGGCTCATATTGCTGCGGATCCTACTGCTGAGCGTCGCCATTTTCAGGCTGCGTTGGGTATTCCTCACTGGCGTGCCGTGATGGAACATGAGTTTCAGGCCCTGCTGAAGAATGACACTTGGCATCTTGTTCCTCCAGTGACTGGTGTTAACATTATTGATTCTTAGTGGGTTTTCAAAGTCAAGAGACATGCTGATGGGTCTATTGAGCGCTACAAGGCCAGGCTAGTTGCCAAAGGTTTCAAACATAGGTATGGTCTTGATTATGAAGACACATTCAGTCCAGTTATCAAGCCCACTACTATTCGTTTACTGATGTCTCTTGCTGTTACTCATGGATGGTTCCTTCGTCAGCTTGATGTGCAGAATGCTTTCTTGCATGGAGTCTTGGAGGAAGAGGTTTATATGTGTCAGCCGCCGGGTTTTGTGGATCCTGCACGTCCTCATCATCTCTGTCGTCTTGTTAAGGCGCTATATGGACTTAAACAGGCTCCCCGTGCGTGGCATGCTCGTATTGGCTCTGTTCTTCGGGCGCTGGGGTTTCTTCCCTCCACAGCTGACACGTCCTTGTTTCTTCTTCAGCGTCCTGAGGTTACGATGCATCTACTTGTTTACGTTGATGATATCATCCTCATCAGTTCCTCCGTTGTTGCTGCTGATCGTCTTGTGGCTGCCTTGAGTGGTGATTTTGCTGTCAAGGACTTAGGTGCTCTGCACTTTTTCCTTGGTCTGGAGGTTTCGCGGTCTTCTGCTGGGTTGACTCTTACTCGGAAGAAGTATTCTCTGGACTTGTTGCGTCGTGCTGGCATGTTGAAGTGTAAACATGCGATCACTCTGATGTCTGCTACTGATCGGCTGTCTGCTCTTGATGGAGATCTTCTTCCACCTGATGATGCTACTGAGTGTCGCAGTCTCGTTGGTGGTCTGCAGTATCTTACTATCACCAGACCCGATGTTTCCTGTGCAGACAACCGTGTCTGTCAGTACCTCCATGCACCTAGGACGTCTCATTGGTCAGCTGTGAAGCGTATCCTCCGTTATATCTGCCTCACTGCTTCCTATGGTTTACTTCTCCAGCCTGCACTGTCTTGTGAGATCTCAGCATTTTCAGATGCAGATTGGGCTGGCAAACCTGATGACAGGCGATCCACGGGGGGATATGCAGTGTTTCTTGGTCCTAACTTGATCGCCTGGAATGCTCGCAAGCAAGCTACGGTGTCTCGCAGCAGTACTAAAGCTGAGTACAAAGCAGTTGCTGATGCGACTGCTGAGATCATATGGGCTCAGTCCTTGTTGAAAGAATTGAGAGTCTCTCCTGCTCATCCTCCAGTGCTTTTGTGTGACAATATTGGTGCTACTTATCTTTCGTCAAATCCGGTGTTTCATGCTCGGACGAAACACATTGAGGTAGACTATCACTTTGTTCGGGAACGCGTTGCACAGAAGCTCCTCAGTATCAAGTTCATCTCGTCAAAGGATCAACTTGCGGACATCTTCACGAAGCCTCTTCCACAACCACAATTTGTAGGCTGTAGGCGCAATCTTAACTTGCTTTGTACCTCAGGCCATAGTTAAGATTGAGGGAGGGTGTTAGACTGTATATATACGAGGACTCTTGTATACACATGTATTTGTATTGTATCCTTTGGTACTCCTATATAATGAGATAGCCACACCCCGTTTAAGGTGTCAAGCAGTTTCCCAAACTATATCTTTTACAAACTGAGCATTGATCATTGATTGCAAAAGAGTGTAGCTCAGGATATTGCTCAACTAAGGCCACTAAGCTAAGGGTTTTTGTATAAAGACTGATTTCATCATCGAAGTATAGAATCCGGTGTCAACTTTGCAGAAAGACTGAATCCATGGACAGATATGGTGTTCGTTTTGGGGGTCACGTTGGAGATGCCCTAACGTTGTGTGGAAGCTCAGTGTTCCTCCACAATCAAATCTGGGTACCACAAGTTCATGGTTATGGTTTCGTTCGACAAGAGAAGCGAAGTTTTCTGAACATAAATTGTGAAATCAACCACGTCGGTCCATCAGATTGGGTACATTTAGCACACTGCTATTACAAACTAAGGATCCAGGCGGGCATCCTGTGAACCCACATGCATGTAAGTATATCAAAAGTCAATCCTAGGTCGACTTTTACTATGCTTGCATACAGGTTCACGCGGACTCGTGCCGTGCTTGCACGGTTGTACCCCTGATTAAATCAGATTGATAGAGATAGACAACTGCAACAACAAAACAGTAGTAGTATTCCCGGCCAAAAAAAAAACAGTAGTATAGTATAACAACAACAACATGTATAAGAAAAACTCAACACGCCGTCCCCTTTGGACTGTCATAGTTCTTCCAGAAAACCAAGAACACCAGTGATCCGCCAACCAGGGTCGCGGTTAGCCGTCTGATTGGCAGTAGCGGCCGTACGTACAGTAGGCATAAAGGAGACAAGATGAAAAACAGGTCTTTCAAGGGTAGTAGAGCGCACAAGAAGACGCGACAGTGCACAGGAGGAGCCCTGGGCGCACAGCGTACGTACATGATTCATGGGAGAATTAGCTAAGGTGACGATTTATGAAGGCGCTTCAATCGGGGGAGTTAATAGTGGTATTGCTTCTAGTAGTGGCCGTTGGCGGCGCCCGAGTTGGTGGCGCTGCCGCTCTTGCCGTCGACGACGACCTCGGTCATGGGCACCTGGTCGGCCTTGCGCTTGCGGGCCTCCAGGATCTGCTGCGTCGACTTGTAGTAGATGGCGTACAGGATTATCTGCCCCACAGCGAACATCACGCCCAGCCCGTTGGGGATCTGCATCCAACAGCAAAGAATACCAATTTAACCCACAGCGACAGTAACGTGAACATAAGTTTGTAACCAGAAAAACAAATCAGAATCCAAGAAATGTGTTAGCCTGAGCTAAGGGTCAGCACAGTAGTAGGTGATGCGTTGCATGCCGTGGCCGCGGACAAAGGGCAACTAGAATAGCACATGATGTAACCTTGTGTTGTGGTGTACCACCGACTACCGTGCATCAGCGGTCAGGAGCGGACGGATAGATCCCAAAGGCACTCGCATTGATTGGGAGGTGAACGCAGCGCGATGCCAATGCGGACGTGGGCGGTGGCAGCATCTACCTCGCCGTCTTCCTCTCGTGCCATACACAC